GAGGTTCTGATAATACTTTCACAACTCCGATATCTTTTCGTCCTTACTCTTGGGCTCCGTGATCTTGTGCTTCTTGAATAGCTTGCTTGCAATCTGGGATATCTTGCGATTGCCCCACGAGCTCCAGAATGCCGCCTTGAACGTAGACTCCTTCCCGTCCCCCAGCTCGGCGACGTGCCCGAACTGCGCCTCCACGAGCATGCGCTTGATATTCGTGAGGTCCCCCGCGTCAGCCGTGCCTGTCTCCCCCGGCAGCGCGCCTGGGCTGGGGGGGCTGGTCCTGGGCGCGCAGGTGTGGAAGTCCCTGGCGACGGCGGCGGACCTCCACCGCCCCCACGCTGGGACGTGTGGAGCTGGATGCTTTTCTCCTGGAGCGCGCGACCGATCGACTCCTGCGTTGTCCTGGTCATGATATCCCGCTGTCGGCGAACCTCGATCTCACGTAGCTCCTGCTCCCGCTGGCCAAAGAACGCCGCGCGCGACGGGTCGTGCTGGTGCGTCCACCCCTTGTGGCGACCCAAGCGGCGCACCCCTTGGTTGCCCCTCGACCCCGACGAGGAACTCGAACGGGTCTTGCGGCCCCTCCGACGGTCGCGATCACCGTCGCGGTCTCGCTGTCCACGGTGGTCGTATCGGTCACGGCCGCGACCACCCACGATCCCACTGATGACGCCGAAAGGCGTGGGCAAGGCACCGACCCATGCAATGGTATTCGTCCGAGCCCGCTCCAGAACCTCTCGCCGTCGACACAGCCACAGGCGGTTCGCATTTTTCGAAATGACCCGAAAAGAAAGCCGAACACCACGGGACCACTCCGACCACTGAGCATTGCATTGCCGCCACAGCGTGGCGAGCGGTGGGACATTGAACGGCGCCAAACGATGCAGACGGATGAGGTATTCCATTACTATGACGGCCGCCATGCAACGAGCCCAACTTGGACGGACAAAATTGACCAGCTCCCCTGCACGGTGGAAGAAGCCAGCACCTGCACCTGCACTCCCCGACCGTGGGAAACTAACACATGGACGATCTGATGCACAATAAGCCACAAACTGATTGTCAAAACTTTCCTCGAAGATGCTGATCGGGTCGCAACAACAATCATCCCCCAACCTGAGCCTCATAATGCCTTCGTAGACCCCAGAATACGCGCCACGTAAATGTCCAGGATTTTGTAACCATTGTCCCCGACACACGCGTTCATAAACGGATTTCTCCTTCGCACTTGACTGCGCCTGCTTGGGTCCTAGAAGCCGCGGTGGCGGACGACGACGAACTGCTTCCCGCCGTGGCACCAGTAGTGGTCCTGGTCGGGTTCCACGGCGTTGACATCCACGATCACGATTGTTGCACTCAGGATTGGCGAATTTGACCACAAGGGACTCCCTTGCAAACGCCTGCGCCTCCGACGGAAAGATCGCCACTGGTAGCATGCACATTGTTCCCAAAGACTTCCGCAGGAGATGATATCTCGGCCTTCTACCCTCTGGCGTATCTGGATACATGATGGCCGTAATGTGTTCCCGAAGTCGCGAGGCCAGCCCTGGGGTAGTAGCCGACTGCGTGAGGTTCACTTTTTCGACGCACACCCCAGCCGCACTCCACAAGACATAGGCAGACGACTCTGTAGGCGTCAACCTTGCGTCAACACAGCTCTGACACCACGACAACCAACCCGCATCGATACTGCTGATGGTTAACTTCGCATAGGGTGGCAAGATACGGCATACTCTGGCCGCCCATCTGGGAAACTCCGACTGTTGCAGAGCCTGGTGTAATCGAATTACGCCCATCGCCATGAAGATATGAATAATACTGACCATCACGCTGGACTCCGTGATGCCATGCTTCTTGCCGCTCGGAAACGTGCTTACCAACAACCGATGTAGGAACAACTGTAAGGCAGGAAGGCCACCCCGAGGTACCATTGACCATATCCACATTCGAACTGCGGCGGTTCCTTCCTGCGACGGCGTCTGGATAAGATGCTGAACCTTTTGCACCTCCTGCAATGCCCACGCATATTGTGTGGTGGGGACTGGCCAACGTACGGTACCTGGGGAAATCACGGATGGAGAGGAAGAGCTGGACGTAGTGTGAGCAGTACGCGCATGTGCCCGTTGAAGGCGAGGTGGCATATGAAACTAATGACGTGAACGGGATGAATCGTGCGACACCGTTGCTGGAAGGCCAGCTTGCCGTACGTGCGATGTGTTCTCCAAGGCGATGAATGGGATGCTGATCGGTCCGAGGCTGGCGGTAGGCGTAGGCCCGAGACTCCGGTCTGTTTTCCTTACACCACTGAGCCGCTCGGGGGTCGATCTGTGACCGACGGACCGCCAGCGCTTCCTTGAGCGTCCATGCGGAAGAGCGGGCTCCCTTGGGACTCCTCCTCGAGCCACACGCGCCCACGGGAAGAAAGTGTGTGTGTGTGTGTCTGTGTGTGTCTGTGTGTGTGTGTGTGTCTGTGTGTCTGTGTGTGTGTGTGTCTGTGTGTGTGTGTCTGTGTGTCTGTGTGTGTGTGTCTGTGTGTGTGTCTGTGTGTGTGTGTGTGTGTGTCTGTGTCTGTGTCTGTGTCTGTGTCTGTGTCTGTGTCTGTGTCTGTGTCTGTGTCTGTGTCTGTGTCTGTGTCTGTGTCTGTGTGTGTGTGTGTGCGGGCGAGGAGCTGCACGTGGGCTGCGGCGGGCGCATGGACTCCCTCGCACTCCCGCCCGGGGACGGGGTCCCGCGGGGGTGGGGTCCCGCGGGGGTGGGGCCCCGGGGGGTCGTGACCCCCACCCCGGTCGCCCCCCCCCGCCCCGGGGTGGCCTCCCTGCTGGCGGGGGCGCCCAGGATCCCTGCGCCCCCCCTCGCCCTTCCGCCCGGGGCCCCTCCCCAGGACCCCCTCGTCTGGGCATCGCTCGGACGTCCATTCCCTGTGTTTTTGTTCGGTTTCGTGCGTGGTTTTTCGCCAAATCTTCAAGGATGCTCCTCGATGGTCCTCGCCGGAAGAAAAATGCACACGTCCGAGCGATGCCAAGTCGCTGCCGCTCCCGACGACCCCGCCGCAGCGCGACGGCCGCTGCCCTGAAAATGTCGCGGCCCCTCGCGCGGTGCGCCCCAAACAGGCCCCCACGGATCCGCGGACCGATGAGGCCCCGGGAGGGGCGTCGAGGGGTGGGGCGTCTTGGCATGGCGGGGGACGAGGACGAGGACGAGGAGGACAGAGGACGAGGAGATGGACGAGGACGGAGGAGGAGGAGGCGGAGGAGGAGGAGATCCACGCGCGGGGTGGCGTGCGGTCGCGCCTGCTGCGCGACGACGCCTCCTCCAGTGCCGTCCGCCGCGGCCGGCGCGCCCGAGGGCGTGCAGCGGCGCCGGGGCCTCAGGCGACGGAGTACGCGGAAGGAGGCACGGCGGTCAGCTGGGAGGGCGGCATGGCGGACAGCTGGGAGGACGCCCAGGTGTCCTCCGCGGGCCCCCGTCCCCCCTCTTCGCTCGGCCCTGCGAATCCCGTTGCGTCGTCGCGCTTCTCCAGCCTCTCCTCCCCCCATTTCCCTCCGCCCGCTCCCGATCTCCCCCCTCCCAGCGAGTGGCAGCGCTCCGCGAGCCATCCCTAGAGAGACCTCGGCTCGCGTGCCCGGCCAGTTCGCTTCTGCGCAGCGGGCTGCTCAGTGCGCGGGAGACGAGAGGGCAAGCAAGCAAGCAGGCATGCACCGGCTCGTACGCTGAGCTTATCAGATGCTGCCAAGCACGAACTGCGCTCCCCCCGCTGGCTCGAGAATCGCCCTGGCGCTCACAAGACCACCGAAGGTACGGGTAGGGGGCGTTGGTCCTTCACCGCGGTCTCCGCCGTGGTCGTGGCCGCGCTCACCGCCTCGCAAAACGGGAAAGACCGGTGGAGCCGGCAGACACGGATAGCTTGGACCGCTGCCGCATCTGTCGTGCTTTCATCTCCTCTTCCTCCCCGACCCCCTCCTGACAAATTATCACTGCAACAGCAAGCCGTGACAAATCCCTTCCTCCCCTCCTTCGTCCCTTGCCGTGTGCCCGCCTGGCAACTCTCTCCCCGATAGGCACCCCCCACGCTTCGTCACACCCGTGCGAGGGAAGGCTGTGCCTGCACGTGCGCACCAGCTTCGTATCGGGCACGTGTGTTCCGGCGCGGGGGGGCGCATTTCGAGCGGCGTGGCCTTCTCATCCAAGCTCTCTCTGCGCATTTACCCTGATTCGTTGCTTCTCCTCTCCTCCTCCTCCTCCTCCTCATCCTCCTCCTCCTCCTCCTCTTCCTCCTCCTCCTCCTCGTCCTCCTCCTCCTCGTCCTCCTACAGTTGGACTTGATTGGACAGTATACCCGAGAGGACACAAGACTCTTCCGACGGCGACGTGGCCCCAAAGCACCAAAAAAACATGCGGGTTGCATAGGCCGGGATAGCGAGGACCCAAGAGTACCCTCGATTTGGCACGGTCGACCGAGGCCTCTGTGCCTGCAGGCTTGCCATGTGGTGCCTTCGTCGACCCGAATCAAATGCCTCCCCTCCCTCCCTCTCCCCCGTCGTTCGCTGCCCGAATGTTCTGGTGCACTGCCCGGGACACGGCTGTGCGAAACACGGCAGCATGAACACCGACATCTAAGGGCATTGCCAGATCCCGACCGAATGAACACCAAAATGTGCAGCATGGGGGTCCCGTCCTCCTTTCCTCCTTCCCCTTCTCCCTCCCCCGAGCCTGACCCATACCCCCGCTTGTCTCCGTGACAAGCGCCTCCCCTCCCACTCCTGAAGGGCAACGAAGGGGGGGGACCAAGCATCAAGCTGGAATCGGCGATACATCCATCGTCAGTACAGTCAACCCTCATGATAAGGATGCGCGGTAACGATGCAAGGGCCTTCGGAGGTCATGTTGACGTTTTTCAAACGAGGCTGGCCTGCGAAAGTCGTTGAGGATGGGCCGAAAGGGCAAGGATGCAAGGGTGACCTTGGACGGTCGCTCACCTTTCTATCATTGCGCGGGCTGATTTGACATCGGTGACCGCGGAACAACACGTTCCTCCGCGGGGAAAGGACGAGGCCCCGATCGAGGACGAATTGTCGATTGGAGGGGGGTGCGCTCCCCCCTGGCCCGATCCCCCCTTCGCGGTGCCCCATGGTTTTCGAATCATAAACCAAGCCTCCTGCGGCCACTGGGGACGATCCGTGCACCACTGCAACGCTCTCGGTGAGGCGCAGCCGTTGGAAGGCACCTCGAATCTGGAAAGCACCCGAGGGACGACGAGAACGTCTGAACAAATCAAAACCTCGAGCCCCGCGCCTGCCCCCCGCCCCCAACGATGCCCCTGCTGGCACCCCGACGAAGTGGGAGGAGCAGAAACGGGAGAGGTTGACGCTCCACCTCTGTAACTCGACCGGGGAGGTTCACCCAGACGAAGATGAGCAGCGGCGCGAGAGGGACGCACACCTGCACCTCGATGAAGGCGAGGCCACCTTTATGCGCTGATCTTCGGAGACGAATTGGCAACACCCAGTGCCCAGTGCACACCAGCGCACGCAAGCCCACAGTCGGGAACCACATACAATACCAAGACATCCCGCAGCCACATACAATACCAGGAAGCGCCCGAACCGTGGAAAAAAAGACACTACAGGACGCGGTGGACAGCACCAGAAACGAGTTGAATAATTCAGCGTGGATATCAAGCGTGCACAAATCAGCATGGCGCAGGATAGCCCCAACGTCAGAATATATCCAACTCCTCATCCGATGACTCACCATGGCCGTCGCCGTCGAGGTCGAACATAGAGCTATGCCGGACTAGAGAACCACCCAGATTACTTGCAGGGCCGAAAAGAACCCCCCACCCAGGAACAGCTGGAAGGCCCCGCGGCACCCCAGGCGGAGCAGCGAGAGAGGACGCGGCGAGCCCCTCCCTCAGCGGCGACTCCAGACGCACATGCTCGATCCCTCCCTCACAGCCGTCAGCCGCAGGGGGGGCGGGTCCCCACGGCTGGATGCTGGGCAGCCCCCTCTTCGATGTCCGCCCGGGCCTCCGTCCCGGCCACGTCCTCGCAAAGAGGAGCCTCCACGATGACGACCGACGGTGCGAAGACGGGCGCCTCCGCGCGCAACTTCCCCTCGAAGCCTCCCGCGGGATCGGACTCTCGCGCAGCGCGAACCTTGAGCCGCCGTTCACGCTGGGCGCGGCGCAGCTCACCTGGCTTCGCCGTCGCCGCGTTGCGGCGCAGAGTCTCGAGCCAGGATGGTTCCCTCCCTGCCAGCTTCGCCTGCTGGGCGGGGAAGATAACCTGCAGCCTCTGGGCGACCTCGCCGCTGCCGACCAGGCAGGCTGCTCAAAGCTATCTCGGTTGCCTCCATGCTGTCGCGGACCCGCGAGAGCTTTTGCGACAACCTCGCGATGACGTTGTCCGCCGACCAGCGCGCCCAATCACGACCAGCCCTCCGCTGCGCTGCTGAGCGCCTCGGCGCGCACTCCGCGCCGCCCCGTGAAACCATCTCCCAAACAGCGGCTCCCGGTCTGGCCATGAGGGAGGGCAAATGGCGACCAGGGGGCTCGAAACCGGCTTGAGCCAAGATGGCTTGGGCTCAAATGGCTACGGAGCAGGAGCGGGAGAAGGACGACTACGGCGACGGGGAGGGGGGAGGAAGACGGGGAGAAAAAGAACCGCCGCGAATACACAAGTTTTCCTCGACTGCCACCCCCGTCATCCCCCGCAAGTGGCGCCAACCCCTCGCCCCCCTGGCGTAGGTCGGGCATGTCCCCCCACAGGCGGATTCTGGACGAAAAATAAAAAAGATCAAACATGCTAAATCAAGCTCAACAAATACTTTTAAAATCGTCCCCATACGATGTCTGGCCTAATTTTGAATACTCGTCCTGTAACGGGACATGCCCGAATGAACCCTGGCGGTGCGCGCGGCCGGCGGCGGCCACAGCTACCCTCGGGTCGGGCATGTCCTCCCACAGGCGGATTTTTGAAGATAAATGAAAATTAGTAACAAATACCCCAGAAAAATTCAAAACATCAAAAATCGCCCCAAAACTATTTTGAATATTCCTCCTGTACAGGGACAAACCCGACTTAAAGCTACCCCTGTGCCGCTGAGCGCCGAACGCGCCAAGACGCGAAGCCCGGAAACCTAGCACCTCGGGCCCTGATGGTGCCTCGTCCCCCCCCGCAAGGGATCGCCCAAAACAAAGTTTCTCGTCTTCTTCTTGTGTTCGCGTCCCCCCTTTTGCCCTCAAGCCGCCGGTCGTTGCAGCACGGAATCGACACGAGAACGGCCCACGACATCGCCAGAACGCCTTTATACATCGACCCCTGGCGCCTCCTCTCGGGTCGGGCGAAAGGGGGGGATAGCAAAGGGGGGGGTTGAGAATCAGCTCGCGTAGCTGATTTTCCCGGCGCCTCCCGGCGCCGGAGGCGGCCATGCATCGAGGACTGGGTCCCTCGGTGAAACCGAAACCAGCTGCATGCAGCAGATTTCGTAACCCCTCCCTCC